ATGCAAACGCTTGGCCAACCGCAGCCCCGACGGATGCCGTCGGGCGCAATAATACGCTGCGGTTGCATATGCCCTTTCGGAGATCAGGCACGGCGATCACAGCACGGCGGCAGTGCCTTTTGCACGTGGCTCTTTCTTTCTCTAGGTCCACAGCGATGATATTCACTGCCCGCCAAAAGGCCCCCCAGCGCATCGACATTTCCTCTCAGCTAATCCCTTCAAAAGCTCATGCTCATTACAGCGACCCTACCTTGCCGGGCCGTTCGTCGCCCCCCCCGCCGGCGCCGCCCCGCGGCCCGAGGACGTCAGCATCTGGCTCCGCTGGGCCTTCTCCCCGCTCGCCGCCGTCGCCGTCCTCGCCGTCCCGCCGCTCCTCGCCTTCCCCCCCTTCCTCCTCCAGCTCCTCCTCCCCTCGCTCGCGCACCGCATCCCCAACCCCTTCCCCGCGTTCTTCTTCCTCTCGCACTCCGCGCCGCCCCCCGCGCGCCCGGAGGCCGCGACGACGGCGCCGGGCTATGCGGGGCAGCTGTACGTCAAGGGCCCGGGCGATTTGGCGCTGCTGGCGTGGACGATTGTGCTCGTGTCGCTCTTCCGGCTGTTGATCTGGGGCCATGCGACCTCGATGATCTTTGCTCTGCACATGTGCTTATTTTCTCCGCATGTAGTCTGTAGCCGGCGTGACTATATGCTTTCAACCCGAACTCATATTCCCCTTCGTGCGTCCACCGGCCTACTCGGTTTGTTCTTTAGCTTCGTCTCAACTAAGTTGACCTTCGTCTGTGACGCAAACTCCAGCTTCTCGAAGCAGCGTGTATGACAGTTCCTCCGACGATTTTAGGTTCTAGCTGAGCAACAGGTTAATTTTTGTTTGATCCCGGCCCGCCAGATTTCGCTCCGCGGAACTAAAGTGCGTTGAGTTGAGTACGGTGAGAACTTCAACATAATCTGACTGCTCGCCTCTGTCGGAAAAATCCTGGGCGGGTTGGATCATCATTCAACCGGTCCGAAGTCATTGCAAGGTCAAAATACTTCAGTGGCTTGCAGCACTTAGGTAAGGTGCACGTAACCCGGTTCCAAGCCAGGTGCGGTGTCACAATCCATTCAAAGCCGGCGAGGAGATTCAGAGCTCGGGATTGATCTCAACTCGTTGCGACTGGTGCGGGGGGGCGCAGATAAAAAAAAAATAGAAAATATGATTTCAAATTACATTCGTGATAATATTCAACGCCGACGAGCCCGGCGTTGTACCGAAGAAACAGGTGTACGCGGTGTATGGGGCACAGCACCCGTCGATCGCGCTGCCGATGCGGGTTGGGAGCGTGCTGGCGGAGGCGCCTGGGAGGTCAGGGCCGAGTGCCCCGGGCGCATAGCCGAATGGAATCCATTCGGCTATTGACAATATAATAATCTTTACAAGATTTCAGCCACTACGCTCTCCACCTCCATTAAGATGTCCTCTACCGCGTCCCCCATGTGTGACACTGCGGATGTGATAAGAGATTCCAGAGGCAGAGGCTACATTGCTCAGCTCGCGTATTGCCTACCGAGAGTTGAGTTGGCCCACTTACGAATTTCCGCGGGTGTTTCCCCACGATGGCACCTGCGAGGGCAACCTGGTCAACATCAGCACGAGGCTGCCATTTCACTTGAACAAGTACGAACCTTCGCCTTCACTGGGAGCGCGCTCGCTACTTTCAGGGCGAGGAGAGCGAGGATGCCAAAGTGCGAGGGCTTCATGGTTGGGAATCGGTTTCTGCCTGTAGTGGCTGGTGATTCCTGCCTATAAAGGACGCGGTTATATTAGTGCACGACAATGTCAGTCGATTAGTCCATCTTGTTCGACACCATGGACTGTTCAGTAGCAGTAGGCGACTAGCACTGTCAGTCTTTGATTTTAGCCGTATGACCAAACTTGACGATATGTGCTAATCCAAGCGGGATCTAGGTAGTACGGGGGGACATTTGACATATATGGACGCTTTACTACTCCGCCTACTGCAGCAAGGGCCTTACCACATTTTTGAGTAGGGTCGGCAATGGTTTTCGTTCTACGAGTGAAACGAGAAGCGTGTGGGCTACAGCTGACGGGGTTGATCCGAATGGTTCAAATCTAACATTTAGACTACTGATCCTAAAGGCGATGGATCAAACACTATATTTCCTTTCATCCAAATGCCATCTCGCCCAGCGGCCGTGGGCAAGCATTGAATTACCCCAAATCATAATTCTCGGTCACCTAACTCGACGCAACTTTCACACTGGATGCCATTCTCTAGTCAGCAGTATATTTATCCTCAAAGTTAGTTATGCCTAGCAGCGGTGACTGCCCTTTTTCAGAACAAGGAGGTCCATATCAGGATGAAAAGCACGGATACGATCTTCAGCTTGACGGTTCGTCCTAACGGGTGACATCAACGCGGATTTAGCAGCGAGCGGGGCGTACCGCGGTGTTCCCGTGCCCAACCGATTTTTCAGATGTTCTGTATCAAGTAACTAGCGGACTGAGTATGAGCTTTGGCCGTGTTTGACTCGTCGCGTCGAGGCGCCAGAGTCACGGGATCAATGCCTTTACACAGATGGCGGTTCAAATTGGCCGGTATTGCAAGCCCATTCTCGGTCTCCCAGGAACCACAAACAATAATCAAATAACAGATAAAAAACAATGCTTATCCACCATCTCATGGCTCGAGCCCGATTCGAACGGGCATCTTCTGCAAGATCCGGTTGACTGCAGCTACCACTGGAGGCAAAGGTCGATGCACCTGGCTTTCAGGTGTGCAGAAAGCATGTTGGGGTGCATGTACTCACATGCACTAAAATGGTCGATAAAGGTGATCGGGACAGGACAAAGGGAAGCCTTGTCCGCCCCATGCCGTGGACAGACTCTTTGTCCTCTCGTAAGTGCTGTTGGTCAAAGAGGTACAGGAGCAGAGTAACTACTGGACACATGCGTTCCACGCACCTGGCTTCCAGGTGCGTGGACCTTTGCCCCCAGTGTAACAAATGCAGGCGCGGTCCGTCCGCCACCGAGCCGATATTCACCCACTTGGGAGCCGAAATAGATCTTCAATTTTTGTTCGTGCTAATTAAGTGTTCATCGTTGGAGGAATCAATCAACACTCAATCTCTGGATAACATTGAGGAGACTGGATTCAATACAACACAGGACTGCGAGGACCCAAAAAAGATTCTCCGACGGCAACAATCATGGCCCGAGCCCGAATCGAACGGGTGTCTTCTGCATCTAAGGAATTACGTACCCATTTGATGCAGTTGCGGACCATCCGCCATCGAGCCGTTCTACGCTTCATCAGAAACGTGAACATATCTTCAATTTTACTCAACAGTTCAGGGAATTTGAGTTCACACTCACCTGACCCAGGAGGATTTACTGCGTGCCAGTGTGGAGTTTGATCGCACCTTGTGCCAACGGAGGTGTTGGACGAGGAAAAAAATGAATGATAGAGGCTCAACGAGATGAACTGCTGCCAGGCGCAGAGAAAAAGATGGGACTTCTAGTATTATGGCTCGAGCCCGAGTCGAACGGGCGCTGCCTGCATGCAATGGATCCAGCTCGCACTAAGTGACGCAGGTACGGACCGTCCGCCATCGAGCCAGTCCTATCCCGTATTCAGTGTCTGAATATACGGCCAATTTTGAGTCCTCTGTGCAAGTTAGTATGTATCTTGCCTTCATGCCAGTGCAGCTAGATTCAAGCTAACTTCATCCTGGGGAGGGGAATGCAATGCGTTGAAGGATAAGGAGATGCCAAGGCCAAAAAAAAAAGGTTCCGCCGACTCATCCATGGCTCGAGCCCGAGTCGAACGAGCGTTTCCTGCATTATTCCAACAACTCCTTAATCGATGCAGGTGCGGGCCGTCCGCCATCGAGCCGATATCCACTGGGGTTGGAACCCGAATGTGTGTCCAATTTTTAGTTTAGCTCGTGCGAAATTCCGCTCATCTTCTCTCGTGGATTTAAGCACTGGCATTCACGAAAATGAACTTATCATCTTTGTCCCAAAATCCAAGATGGCAGTAGGGGCCAGTCAGCAGCAGTGGCAACTGAGGAAGAAAAAGAGAGGCGAAACAATTATGGCCAATGGCTCGAGCCCGAGTCGAACGGGCGACTCCTGCATATTATTATTTCGATAAATTTCACATAATACTTGCCGGTGCGGACCGTCCGCCATCGAGCCGATACTGGTCCAGTTTTGCAGTTGAATATGTGAGCATCCTTTAAGGCGCTGCAATAGAATTCGAAGTGAGTGGAGAATGAGTGGGAATAGTGAAAGCGATGAATAATCCAAGCAGCAAAATGAGATCTGAGAAAAGAAAGACTAGAGACCAAAGGTCGCTCGTGCTTGAGTCAAACAAAAAATGCCAAGGAACCGTCCATGGCTCGAGCCCGAGTCGAACGGGCGTCTTCTGTAAGATCCCATTGACCACGGTTAACAAAAAATGCAGGCGCGGACCGTCCCCCATCGAGCCGATACCCACCAGATTTGAAACCCGAATATACCTCCACTTTTTTTCGGTTGGGATCGAGGCAAATTGTAGGTGAGAGTCTGAGGCAAGCGTTTGTAACGCAGAATACTAGTGGGATAGAGTTGAGGCAAGATGTAAGAGGTGAATATTTGAATCGTCGGAGGCTAAACGAACGCAAAATTCAGCGCAGAAAGCGAAATGAGATGCGAAAAATGAAATGCGTGGACACAATGAATGGCTCGAGCCCGAGTCGAACGGGGGGGGTATGCTGAATTATTCCCAGAACACGGCCTTAATCGATGCAGGCGCGGACCGTCCGCTATCGAGCCAGTCCCATCCCGTATTCAGTGCCTGAATATACGCCAATTTTGAGTCCCCCGTTAAGGTATGTGACGTGAATGGATGCCCGTGCAGTTGGATTCAAGCAAACTTCATCCTGCGGAAGGGAATGCAATGCGTTGGAGCATAAGGAGATGCCAAGGCCAAAAAAAGAAGGTTCCGCCGACTCATCCATGGCTCGAGCCCGAGTCGAACGGGCGACTCCTGCATATTATTGATTGGACGAGTTCCCAATAATACTTGCAGGTGCGGACCGTCCGCCATCGAGCCGATACTTACTGGAATTGGAACTTGAATGTACGTCTCATTCGAAAGTTAAATTAACAGTTTTATCGGCGGAACGGCCCGTTTGAGGAATTAATTAACACTTGATTTTCAGATCTCGGTTAATATTGAGGACACAGTAACTAGAGTAGAAGAAGAGAAAAACGGGGATGGCTCGGAGGATTCAAAAAAAGAGGATAGAACTCACTCATGGCTCGAGTCCGAGTCGAACGGGTGTCTTCTGCATAATGATGAGATACGGCCATGCGAATGATAGCAAGTGCGGACCGTCCGCCATCGAGCCGATAGTAGCCTCGTTTTGAAGCTGAATACATGAGCAATTTGAAGCGTGAGACTCCGCACCACCGTCGGCGTCCGTCGGGGCGCAATAATTGCTGCGGTTGCATTTTCCCTTTCGGGGATCAGGCACGGCGATCACAGTGTGGCGGCAGTGCCTTTTGCGCGTGGCTCTTTCTTTCTCTGCCCGCCAAAAGGCCCAACGCATCGAGTCCGCCGTTCCTCTCAGCTAATCCCTCCAAATGCTAACGCCCGTTGCAGCGACCCCTCGCACCACCTCGCCGGGCCGTTCGTCGCCCCGGCCTCGTCCTCGTCATCGCCCACCAGCCCGCCCGCCCCCGTCCCCTCCGCAGCCCGCACCCCCGCCGGCGCCACCCCGCGGCCCGAGGACGTCAGCATCTGGCTCATGAACTAAGCAATAAAAACGAGTCGCACTATCTTATTGAACACTTAGTTTACCTTTAACGGTGTGCTAACGCATTATAGATTGTAGACTCCCAGTGCCAGGTTAATACACTAGATCGATTGTTGTACCGTTGTATCATGTCCTCCAAATTTTGATTGTGAATCACCCAAATCATACTGCTTCCCCGACAAAGTTTGACGCGGGATGGCATGCACGTCGACGTTACGCGTTATCCGCTGGGATTAACCATTTTGAGGCGAACCATGAGCCATATCAGGATAGCGAAGTGCTTACCAGATGCCAAAATGACATCCGGCGCTTGACGGTTTGTCCTGTCGAGACTTCACCGAGGATTTGTCGACCGGCGAGGTGAACCGCGGTGTTTCAGAGGCAAAGTTAATTTTCCAGATACTCTTATCGAGAAACTAGCGAGGGATTCGCCGGTTGGATAATTATTAACACAGGCTTTAATCACAAGCTTTGGTCATATTTGACTGGTCGCGTCAACGCGTTATGGTCACGGAATCAACAATAGTTTAACTTTAACACCGTAAACTGTAAAATTTCAGCTGCGCTGAGGACGTAGCTGAAAGTGTCATTAAAATGCCATCTCCCATCACGAAAAAAAAACGGGCCCTTTCCTGCATATAATTCCAAGGCATTCGCAACACAGTTACAGTTGCAGGATCATCCGCCATCGAGCTGGTACTAAGTTCAATATATTTTCCCACTTTACTGGATGGATGAAGGAAATCTGGCTCAGCGATGTTCAAGAACGTCCTAATGACATCTAAAAATGCCTTTCGCCGGCGCACGGCTTGGACCAATTGCATACAGGTACGCTCCGGGACCGCCCACTATTACAGTAGTAGCTTGATTTCGAACTAGAATATCTTCCCTTTTTTGTGGGGGAAGATCCGGGGGAATTTCAAGGGGAGAAGGTGAGTCAGAGATATGAGAACTAAAAACCTTATGATCAGTAACCCATGGCTCGTGCCCGAATCGAACGGGCTTCTATTATATTTCTGCAGCACCCAAATGAATGCAAGCGCGGGTCGTCCGCCATCGAGCCGATAGACAGAGGAATTGGAACTTCATTGTGCGTACAATTCGAAGTTTGAATTAAGAGTTTTAGGGCGGAACGCACCGTTGGAGGAATCAATCAATACTCGATTCCCAGATCTCGGTTAATATTGAGGAGACTGGATTGGAGACAGCACAGGAATGCGAGGACCGAAAAAAAATTCTCCGGCGGCAACCATTGCCCGAGCCCGAGTCGAACAGGTATTTCCTGCATATCAGGGCAGTCTGTCACATGAATGCAGGTGCCAAATGTCCGCCATCGAGCCGTTCTTTGCTTTTCCAGGACGTGAATACATGTTGAAATTTTTTAGTCCACAGTTTAGGGATTTTGAGCCTGAGCCAAGTGGATTTACACCAAGATGTCGAAAAAAATTGAATGCCAGAGATGAACTGCTGGCATAGAGAAAAAGATGGGACTTCTCGCGTATGGCTCGAGCCCGAATCGAACGGGCGACTCTTGCATTCCTTATACACTACGCCCATCAAATTAACGCAGCCGCGGACCTCCGCCATCGAGCCGATACAACTGTGGTTTTGCAGCTGAATATGTGGCAATTTTCGTCATGGCTGAACAAGGGATTTCCGGCGGAACTCGCGCGCATCTACAGAGATATCGGCGAGGACACGAGGTTGACGCAAAGATTCCGGAGCTGAACGAGGTCATTGCTCAAGCCCGAGTCGCACGGGCGTCTCCTGCATGTAGAAGGTCAAAATTGTATTTAATGCAGGGCCAGGCCGTTCGCCATCGAGCCGGTATTCACTGGAATTGGAATTTGAATATACAAAATTCGAAGTTTAAATTAACAGTTTCATCAGCGGAACGCGCCGTTTGAGGAATCAATCAACACTCGATTTCCAGATCTCAGTCAATATTGAGGACACTAGATTAGAAGAAGAGAAAAAAGGGGATGGCTCGGAGGATCCAAAAAGAGAGGACAAAACTCGATTATGGCTCGAGCCCGAGTCGAACGGGTGTCTTCTGCATAATGATGAGATACCGCCATGCGAATTATAGCAAGTGCGGACTGTCCGCCATCGAGCCGATAGTAGCATGGTTTTGAAGCTGAGCAATTTGAAACGCGAGACTGCGCTCCGACGGATGCCGACGGCGGTGCGCAGTCGGCATCCGTCGGGGCGCAATAATATGCTGCGGTTGCATTGCCCTTTACTGATGAGACAGGGGCTAGACGAAGAGTTCAGGACGCCGCAAGAAAAATAAGAAAAAAGACATTCGGTGCGGGGCGTCTCCTGCATTACTTTGGAATCGTTACATGATGCAGGTGCGGATCGTCCGCCATCGAGCCGATACCCACTATACTTGAAACCTGGATATATGGCCAAGTGTTTTGGAAGAGAGCGAAAATGAGATGCGAAAAACTCCACGCGTCTATGCATGGCTCGAGCCCGAGTCGAACGAGTGTTTCCTGCATTATTCCAACAACTCCCTAATCGATGCAGGTGCGGGCCGTCCGCCATCGAGCCGATATTCACTGAGGTTGGAACCCGAATGTATGTCCAATTTTTAGTTTAGTTCGTGCGAAATTCCGCTCATCTTCTCGGATTTTAGCACTGGCATTCACAAAAATGAACTATCATCTCTGGCCCAAGATCCAGCATTCCAGCAGAGGCCGGTCAGCAGAGTGGCAACTATGAGGAGGAAAAAGATACGAGACAGAGCGGCACATGGCTCGAGCCCGAGTCGAACGGGCGACTCCTGCATATTATTATTTCGCCAAATTACCTATAATACTTGCAGGTGCGGACCTTCCGCCATCGAGCCGGTACTGGCGAATTTTCAGTTGAATATATGAGCATTCTTTGTCTGGGCGCTGGGGTGGAGTTTGAAGTGAGTCGAGAATGAGATGGGGATGCGATGAAGAATTCGGGCAGCAAAATGAGATCTGAAAAAAGAAAGACTAGAGACCAAAGGTCGCTCGTGCTTGAGTCAAACAAAAAATGCCAAGGAACCGTCCATGGCTCGAGCCCTAGTCGAACGGGCGTCTTCTGCAAGATCCGGTTGACCAAGGTTAACAAATGCAGGCGCGGACCGTCCGCCATCGAGCCGATACCCACCAGATTTGAAACCCGAATATACCTCCACTTTTTTTCGGTTGGGATCGAGGCAATTTGGAGGTGAGAGTCTGAGGCAAGCGTCTGTAACGCAGAATACTAGTGGGATAGAGTTGAGGCAAGATGCAGGAGGTTGATTGTTTGAATATTTGAGTTGCCGGAGGCTAAACGAACGCAAAATTCATCGCAGAGAACGAAATGAGATGCAAAAATTAAATGCGTGGACACAATCGGAATGGCTCGAGCCCGAGTCGAACGGGCACCTTCTGCATAGTCATACATCTACAACATTGTTTAATCGATGCAGATGCGGACCGTCCGCCATCGAGCCAGTCCCATCCCGTATTCAGTGTCTGAATATACGGCCAATTTTGAGTCCTCTGTGCAAGCTAGTATGTACCTTGCCTTCATGCCAGTGCAGCTGTATTCAAGCTAACTTCATCCTGCGGAGGGGAATACAATGCGTTGGAGCATAAGGAGATGCCAAGGCAAAAACAAAAGGTTCCGCCGACTCATCCATGGCTCGAGCCCGAGTCGAACGGGCCGGGCGGAACTCGCGCATCTAACAGAGACATCGGCGAGGACGCGGGTTGGCGAGAGGATTCCGGATCAAAAATGGCTGAACGAACGCAAACTTCAGCGTGGTGAGAGCGAGAATGAGATGCAAAAGGATTGGGAGAAATAGAACGTATGGCTCGAGCCCGAGTCGAACGGGCGTCTACTGCAAAGTAATCCTCATCGATCACATTCGATGCAGGTGCGGACCGTCCGCCATCGAGCCGATATTAGTCTGGTTTTGAAGCTGAATACATGAGCAATTTGAAGCGTAATTGCTCCCCGACGGATGCCGTCGGGGCGCCATAATTGCTGCGGTTGCATTTTCCCTTTCGGGGATCAGGCACGGCGATCAGAGCACGGCGGCAGTGCCTTTTGCACGTGGCTCTTTCTTTCTCTCCGCCCACCACAGCGATGATATCCACTGCCCGCCAAAAGGCCCCCCAGCGCATCGAGTCTGCCGTTCCTCTCACCTAATCCCTTCAAATGCTAATGTTCGTTACAGCGACCCCTCGCACCACCTCGCCGGGCCGTTCGTCGCCCCGGCCTCGTCCTCGTCATCGCCCACCAGCCCGCCCGCCCCCGTCCCCTCCGCAGTCCGCACCCCGGCGGGTGCCGCCCCGCGGCCCGAGGACGTCAGCATCTGGCTCCGCTGGGCCGTCTCCCCGCTCGCCGCCCTCGCCGTCCTCGCCGTCCCGCCGCTCCTCGCCCTGCCCCCCTTCCTCCTCCAGCTCCTCCTCCCTTCGCTCGCGCACCGCATCCCCAACCCCTTCCCCGCGTTCTTCTTCCTCTCGCACCCCGCGCCGCCCCCCGCGCGCCCGGAGGCTGCAACGACGGCGCCGGGCTATGCGGGGCAGCTGTACGTCAAGGGCCCGGGCGACCTGGCGCTGCTGGCGTGGACGATCGTGCTCGTGTCGCTCTTCCGGCTCTTGATCGGGGGCTATGCGCTGCCGGCGCTGGCGCGGAGGTGTGGGATCACGAAGGAGGGAAGGCTGGTACGGTTTGGGGAGCAGGGGTATGCGGTGGTGTATTTTGCGATCTTTGGGGCGTGGGGCGTGGTGAGTCCTTTTCTTGCCTGTCTTTTGCTTCAAGGCGTCCTGCGTTGTCCCTTCCCTTGCCTATCCACTTGCGCGCTATCTCAATCATCAGGCCGCCCTACGTCCATCGATATCCTAACCCCGCTCCACCTCCCACCTTTCCTTCCCATTTCGGATTCGCAATGGCCATGTGTCCATGCCCATGCGGCAACGCCCTGTCCATCTCTCCCTCATCGGTGGCGCCTGATCCTCTGCCCATACTCTTCCTTATCCGCCGTCGCCCGTCGTCCGCTCCTTTATCCGCCGTCTTCCGCTCCCTTATCCCGCGTCGTCCTCCGTCTTCCGTCCACCAACCCATTTTCGTTTCCGTTCTCTCCCCGTCGCTTTCTTCCTCTCCTCTCCCCTCTCCTCCCTTTCCCATTAACTTCCCCCTCCTCTCCTGTTTTTTTTTCTAATTCATTCCCTGCTCTTCTTGTTTTTTCTAATACTCTTTCATTCACAGTACATAATGTCGACCTCGCGCACCTGGTGGTTCACGACCGAGTTCTTCTGGCGCGACTACCCGCACAACCACCTCTCCGCCCCCATGAAGAGATATTATTTGACGCAGATCGCGTATTGGCTGCAGCAGTTTTTGGTGCGTCTTCTCTTCCTATAGCTGTTGAGAGCGTGTATGCAGCGTGTTCTGCGTGCGCCGTTCCCGGACTGGATGCGCGGTGCTCATTTCGATCTGCGTCTCGGAGCGGGCTGCGAGTGGCGTGTCGTCGTATCCGACGACAGCTGTGCTGTCTCTACAGTGTGCCCTTCTTCTCCCTCCCTCCCTTCTTCCTCTTCTCTTTGAAAATCGCTCCACTAACCCGTTCGCTGACGTTCACTTACGCACAGGTCCTCACCCTCGCCCTCGAGAAGCGCCGCTCGGACCACTGGGAGCTCGTCATCCACCACTGTGTCACCGTGTGGATGGTTAGGTGCGTTTTTTCCTCCCTGCTTCCTGTTACCCTTTCGTTTTTCGTTCAATCTCTTCGTTGGGGGGCATTTTTATTCGGACGGGTAGTGCTTCCTTCCTTTTCCTTACGGGCATGGCGAGTGTGGGTGGAGTTGGTTTCGAACGTTCCTCGTTTCGATTTTCGATTTTGATTTTCCTCTGGCGGAGCGGGGATTTTTTGCCCCCAAGGAGCTTTTTTTCGAACGTTGGGCGTTTTTTTTTCGTGTTTGCTGGTGAACGTTGGGGCTTTTTTTCTTTTCTATCTTTGTTTCGGTTGGGTTGTTTTTGGGGCGTGTCGATGTTCGCCTCGATGTGTGCATCTGGATGACGCGCTTGGGTGGCTTGGGCCGCTTGGGCCGATTGGTGCGGGTGGCGCGAGATTGGGCCGGGTGCCTTGTTGGCGGGTGGCGTGGGCCGGGTGCCGCGGGGAGCGTGGGTGCGTGGCCGTGGTGGAGTCGTTCGTGGCGGGCGGCTCGCTCGGCTGGTTGGAAGATCGCGGCTCGTTCGGCTTGCGAGATCGCGGTTATTTTTGTTTTGGGCAAAAGGAGCAAGAGCGTTTTGGAGCGAGCCCATTTTCTCGTTCGCGCCTTTTTGCGCCTTTTTTTTTTTATCCGAGAGCTCGCCCTCGCTCGTTTTTTCGTTTTGACGCGCGTTCGCGCCTTTTTGTGGAGATCCGCCCGCCTTTGGATTCTTTCCAGAACACTGGCTTTAACGCTCCTCGTTGGGATTTGGTTGTTTTTCTTGCACTTTTGGCGCCGTTCTTTCTTGCACCTTTGGCGCCGTTCTTTCTTCCGCCTTTGGCGCCGTTCTTTTCTCATCCCCTCTCTCCTGTAATTCTTCACCCTTCACCCTTACTGATATATGTTCCCTCGGCAGCTGGTCCTACCTCATGAACGTGACCCTCCTCGGCAACGCCGTGTTCATGAGCATGGACATCCCGGATATGTTTTTGTCGGTGCGTTTTTCTTACTCTTATTTTTTTGGGTCGTGTTGGGTTTTTTCTCTCTCGTCTTGGAGCACCTTTGGGTTCGTCCGAGAGTTGGGTTCTTTCGAGTCTTTTTTTTCGGGTGCTCGTTGGCGGTTTGGGTTTGATGGCCCGGGCGTTGTCTTTGAATCTCAAAGCACCTACTGACGTTGTAATATGTGCAGTTCTCCAAGATCCTCAACTACCTCGGGCTCGAGCGCGCAAAGGTCGTGTCGCTGGGTGTGTTTTTCGTCGTGTGGACGTGCGTGTTTTTCCTCGTTTCCTTCATTCTGGTCGCATGCAGCTGTATGCAGCACATAGAGTATCCGCGCCCTTCCTCGTTGTTGTCGTTGATATTGAGATAAAAGTGCTGACCAAAACACCCGCAGGTACTTCCGGCACTACATCTCGCTGCGCATCCTGTGGTCGCTGCAGTACGAGTTTCATTTGGTGCCGTGCGTGTTTCTTCCTCTTTGTTCTCTGCTTCTTGGTTCTCGAGTCTTTTTCTCTTTTTTGTTGGCGACGTTTTGTTGGCGCTGTTTGCCGTGGTTGCGCATTTCTGTGCATGCCGCAGAACGCTCATGACGTCGTTGGGCGTCTGTCTTTTTTTTGTGCGATTCCGTTGGGCGTCTACTATTTATTTATTTTTTTGCGGGGGGGCGTTTATTTCCATCCCAATCCCCCGCGTTTATCCTTCCCGTCCACTATTACATCCAATCAAACTTATAACGTATCTAACCTCTCCCCCAGCGAATACGCGCAGATCTTCTCTCCGCGCACGGGGCTGTACATGGCGACCTGGATGCGCGACCAGATGTTCTACTCGCTGTGCATCCTGCAGGTGTTGAATCTGTTTTGGTATTATTTGATTTGGCGGATTATCGTTAGGTGGGTGTTCTTTCTTTCTCATCGCGGTTATTTCCTCGCGATCATTTCTCCGGGGTGGGCATGTCGGTGTGCCGACGGAGATGGGGAGGAGGAAGGTCGGAGTGCATGTGGCCTCGAGTTCCGGGTGAACGGATCCAGAGTCTTGGCGTGCACGTACACTGAACGAATGAACACAAGCTGACTCCCTTTCCCCTTCCACAGATCGATCATGACCTCGGACACGGACGACTCGCGGTCGGACGACTCGGACGAGGACGAGGTGCCGGCGGGTGTCTCTTTGGAGGGCCTGCTGCTTGACGGGGAACCGTCGGAGAAAGGGCTTGCGGCGAGTGTGGGGAGGGTGAGTTGTTTTTTGGTTTTCTTGTTTTTTTTGGGGGGGGACTCGTGCGCTTTTTTCTTGATTACGAATATGGTTGGGGCTCTCCGGATACTGTTGGTCGCGCTTGCGTCCATTAATTACCCACCTTGGATTAATGCAGACGCTAACGTGTTTTGTTTGTAGGACAAGAAGACGACGGGCACTGGCGCACGCACGGGTGCGGGCGGGGGGCTTACGACGAGTCCTGGCCCGGCTGCGAACGGGAAGACGCTGGTGGACGTGGAGGCGGCGGGGCTGTTTGAGCAACCGTGTGAGAAGGAGGAGTAGGCGCTGCTCGTGCTGTTCGACTCTGGCGTTTGGAAAGGAGAGGGCGGGAGGGGAGAGGTGTGAAAGAGGGAATGGGAGGAGGGAGAAGACGAAAAGGCTGTAGACGAAAATCCAGCTGCGCACCACACGACGCCGACGGCATGGAAATCGAACTCGAAATCGGATCGGACCTCCCAAGAGCGGACTTGGATTGTGTTCTTGTTTCTCTCTTCCTCTTTCCTTCCTTTCTCCCTTCATCATTGCGCTCTCGTTCTCGTTGCTCTTTTGCTCCTTACTACCTTACTTCCCTCGCTTACTTCATGCATTCCTTCCCCGTACTTCACCTCATCCCCTCGCTTGGATTGTTGACGCGCCTTCCCTCCCTTCCCTATTCTATCCTTCTTATATGTGTATGCTGCCTTTGCTTTTTTCTTTCTCTTCCTTTTTCTTTTACATTACATGTTCCTTTCTTTCTCTTTCCCTCCGTTGCAGCTACGTTCCATTCCTTCCTTCCCCGCGCCCGATAACGATACCGATACCCGCACCACTCGCGCAGTGAGTATGCCCTACTACTATATTATTTAGACTCTGCCGCTTATTGCGTTAGTATAGGTATCCTATAGGCACGGACCTGCTGCTGCTTAGTGCCTGCTGCTACTCTTTGGTACCTGGCCGCGCGCACTCGCTGAACTTGTCGTCTGGCTGGATCTGGCAGGACCGCACGGCACCTACGTAGCAGCCGCACGTAGATACCGGCGGCACATACTTGGCTGAACGTACCACAGAGAGGGTGGGTAACTTGCTGAATCGGATATATTGGCGCGCTCGTTTTCTGTTTTTGTTGTTGCAGGGTTTTTTCCTTGTTGCAGGGTCGTCGTTGGGATCTCGTCCCGATCGGGGCCGGATCGCAACTGCCAGATCGCAACTGTCAATCGAGGCTAGATTGCAACTGCCATTGACTCAAGGAACGGCTTGGCCGCGGCGCTGGGACGTAACAGCACGCGACTGGCCGCATGGGCGATTGGCGCACACCTGCCCGACGCGGGGATCGTCGGTCGCCCGATTGGGAGGGTGGGGCGCACGTTTGTCGCTGCCCAGGGATCTGGTAGGTACGATGCGCCCCGGATTTGGACTGATTTGGATGGCGATGGAAAGCAGGATGGATGGATAAAGGGCCCCGTGCTAGATGAAGTGGGGCAGCGAGATGCCTCTTGTGGGGATCGTCGGGAATTTGGAAGGTAAGTGGACCAGAACTGTGGGGTAAGCGGGGGTAAGCGGCGGGGTAATTAATTAATTGATTGATTGGCTTGGCAGGGACGGGTTGAATGTTGGATTGATGGCAAGGTGAGTGATATTGTGTTGTCGTCTAGAGCGTGTATGGAGGTGGAATGTATAATTCAATGTTATGGAATTTCCTGATGGCGAATCGTACTTGTGATGTCGGTTTTGTTCTTTATTTTTGCATCGTATGAAGTCTTTAGCCATGTCGGCGGACCGCAATATAAATTGTTCGCCTATAAGTTTGCACCTAAGTTATACATTTTTATACCGTGCACGACGGTTCGCCAGAATTTTTACCACGAACACGGACTACGTATTTGATAGCGAGATCCTGAGCCCGACGGTTCTTGAACTGCAAATGGAAGTTCTTGGAAGAATATTATGATGATTATAGAAGTAGAAGATGAGCAAGGCCAGCTTGACAGTGAGTGTGTACCGGCTCGATGGCGGATGGTCCGCACGGCATTCATGTGGCATTTCAAGAAATCACGCAGAAGACGCCCGTTCGATTCGGGCACGAGCCATGGCCCAGATGTCCCAGATTTTTTCTTTTGCTGTCTTCACGTCTCATTCTCTCAGTTTCCCCAGTACATTCTACATACTTCAGTTCGTACTCACCACGGATTACTCGCTTGCTCTGAACCACTGAAAAACGGTGTGGAGGGTTCCTAAACAACTCAAAAGTCAGTATGTATCGGCTCGACAGCGGATGGTCTGCACCTGCAACACATACCTGTGATATGAATATCGAGAGTGTGCGGGAGATGCCCGTTCGATTCGGGCCCGAGCAATGACCAGTTTCTTAGACCGTTTTTGGTTTTGCCTTCCTTGCATTCCATTCTCACAGCACTAGTATTCAGAATGGGTTCTAGTGAAGTTTTTAAATAATCCCCAGCAAAGGTGCTGATCCCCCGAGAAACCCCGCGGGGAATTCTTAAATTGAACTTGAACTGCAGAAGGAGGGGTTGGAAGCAGAAGTGTTGGAAGAAGATGAGGAAGGCCAGCTTGAAAACTGAATGTGTATCGGCTCGATGGCGGATGGTCCGCGTCGGTTTCTCGTGTCGCAAGACAGATCTGATTATGTATGCCGGAGACGCCCGTTCGACTCGGGCTCGAGCCATGAGCAAATGTTCGAGTGGTCTTTTTGCCGTCCTCGCATCTCATTCTCTAGTTCCTAGTCCCCCAGCACCGATTACTCGCCTGCTCTGAGCCACCGAAAAAAGCCGTGGAGGGTTCTTATGCAAATTCAACTTGAACTGCAGATGGAAATGTTGGAAGAAGATGCAGACGCAAGTGGCCAAGACCAGCTTCAAAACTGAATGTGTATCGGCTCAATGGCGGATGGTCCGCACCTGCGTCATATATATTCCCGAGCTGCCAGGAATTCAAATTAAGCAGGAGATGCACGTTCGATTCGGGCTCGAGCCATGGCCAACTTTGCACGAGTGTTTTTCTTTTCTTTTTTGCCGTCCTCGCATGTCATTCACCCCGTGTTCGCATTGGTTCTACTCCCCAGCTCGGATTATGTGCTTACAGCCGGAGCCTAGAAATAATCGCAGACGGTTACTAAATTCAACTTTAACTGCAGACGCGCGTGTTTAAAGAAGATTCAGACGCATACAGAAGTGCTAGAAGAAGATGGGGAAGGCCAGCTTCAAAAGTGACTATGTATCGGCTCGATGGCGGATGGTCCGCACCTGCATCATATTGAAGAATGCCTTCCAAGTATGCAGGAGGTGCCCGTTCGATTCGGGCTCGAGCCATGGCCAACTCTTCTTAGACCGTTTTTGTTTTTGCTGTCCTCACATCTTATTCTTCCAGTGTTCAAAATGGGTTCTACTCCAGTTCGTACTCCGCCAGCCCGGATTACTCGCTTACTCTAAGCCACAGTAAAACGGCGTGGAGCGTTCTTAAATTCAACTTCAACTGGGAACGTACATGTTGGAAGTATTAAAAGAGGATGGGCAAGACCAGCTTCAAAACTGAGTGTGTATCGGCTCGATGGCGGATGCACACCTGCATAATATACAATAATGTCTTTCAAGTATGTAGAAGATGCCTGTTCGATTCGGGCTCGAACCATAGCTCAGCGTATGTTTTTTTCCCGTCCTAGCATCTCACTTTCCCAGTCTTCAGAATGGGCTCTATTCTACCCAGCCCGATTACTCGCTTGCTGCAGATATATGGAGCCTCGAATAAAGCTGTGGACGGGTCGTGAATTCGACTTGAACTGCAGATGGACGTGGGGAAGGAGATACAGACGCAAGTGCTAGACGATGGCCAAAACCAGCTGCAAAACTGAGTGGGTATCGGCTCGATGTCGGATGGTCCGCAGCTGCATCATATGTATTCACCAGCAGGTGGGAATTCCAAGTATGCCGGAGCGGCCCGTTCAATTCGGGCTCGAGCCACGGACGTTTAGTCTGGAACATTTTTGTTCTCTGCCGTCCTCACTTCCCATTCTCACAGTGTTCAGAATGTAGTTTCAAAAGTCAGTGCGTATCGGCTCGATGGCAGATGGTCCGCCTCAGTATTCTGTATTAGATTTAGATTTGTGTATACCCTGATACCGGAGACGCTCGTTAGACTCGGACTCGAGCCATATCCGTGGTACCAGACTCTTTTTGCTATCCTCACAACTTATTCTCCCAGCACTAGTGTTCACAATGGGTTCTCCTCTAGTTTCCACTCCCCCAGCCCGGATTACTCGCTTGCTGGAAAGATGCTGAGCCACAAAATAATCCCACATGGTTCTTGAACCCAACTTCAACTGCCAACGGAAGTGTTGGAAGCTGGCACATTCAGAAGCGCTAGAAGAAGATGGGGAAGGCCAGCTTCTAAAGCCGGTGTGTATCGACTCCATGGCGGATGGCCCGCACCTACATCATATAGATCGGTGAGCGGCCAGGAATTCAAAGTATGCAGGAGAGGCCCGTTCGATTCGGACTCGAGCCATTGTTCTGTACACTCTTTTCTTGGCCGTCCTCACCTCTTATTCTCCACCCCAGTTTCTACTCCACCCAGCCCGGATTACAGACTTTCTGGAAAGATGCTGAGCCACCGAAAAAGCCGTGAAAGTTGATCAAATTCGACTTGAACTGCACACAGAGGTGTTGGAAGTGGTGGATGAAGATGGACAAGGCCAGTTTTACAGCTGTTCGCAAAAATATGGAAACCCGGAGCACCACGCTTTGAAACCAGTGATGGGATCAGCTGCCGAGCGATGGCCGCGAATCGGACATGTCATTGAAACGTATGTATTCTATTTGTCGATCCTCAAATATGCATCTCATCTTCCTTAAATCAATCTAAATCAAACATACTACCTCCCATTACCTCAGAAATGGCATGAACATTCCCTGGGAGCCCTTCTTCCTGATTTTCGAGAGGATAAAAAGCAGAAATAGTGATTGTAGACACAACTGGCTGTTTAAAGACTGCGTGGTCGATCTTGATTACACTTAAGAGTATGCAGGAAGTTCCCAGGGTTCAGATAATCGCTCTATGGATTTAAAGTTGTCCGAGATGCCCGGGCACATCAGAGTGATGCTTGGGACTCAAAAAGGGATTGGGAATGCTGTGTTGGCTCCCTTGGGGGTCTTTAATTGGTTGTATACTGGATCGTACGAGATTATGGACTATTTTCTGACCAATTGACTCATCAGAGCCACATGGACTCAGGATGTTGTCAGGATATATATATATGGTTGAAGCATCTCTCGCAGAGGTAATATTCGCTTCGCTGCAATGTGTTGGCGGCTGGAATCTGCGAAGAGACATACACATGCTCGAACTGATTAAAAAGCCTTGGTTCCAAATGTGAACATTCAACTTTACAGTAGGAAAGAAGTCGAGATGGTTGGCTGAAAAATGGGAATCAGGGAGCGGGATTTACAAATAATTTGGGAGAAATTAGGCTCAAAAATATAAATGCCAGTTATTATTCGAATTCCTGATTCCATACTTCCGAAAGGGGTTGCAAACTCAAGGACGGCCAGTTAAACAGTATGATCCAGCCTCGGAACACCTGACGTTTGTTCCAAGTAAGGCCATCGAGGTCGTGGTCCCAGTCCGAGATATTCACAAGTAAGTTTAGAAGCTAAAGTTCTCTTAGAAAGTGTGGCCGTCACCTCAACTGTGTCCTCGGCACAATAACGGCCATCGTACAGAAATTGATGATATCACTTATTTCAAAGCATGATGCTCCGGGCTTCCATACAAAAAGGATGACAGGAACTAATTTTTTAGGAATTAGATCAAAATTGATCTCGCACCTTGCCATCGACGTTCATGACCCATTTCTGTATGGATTTAGCTAATTTTAGATGCGTTCGAGAGGGACTTGATGGCGCTTTCGACCCATACCCTGCTCACCTCCTGAAACAAAAAATATAAGCTTGTCAATACTTGCCCAGGGTAATTCCGCCTCTAACTTGGAATCGCTGTTACTCGGTCAAATCTTATTCAACTCAGGTCTGCGTGAGCACGAGAGATATTTCACTGACATATATTATGTATGAATGAGACAAGACGTGCCTTCGCTTCGCTCCGGCGTAGGCGGTTGAGACTATTGATTGATTTGTGGAAAGAAATTCATTGAAAGTCAAACTTATAGTAGCACGATCATAGCAAGCTTTCCCATTGGACGTACTGTATATTGAACATAGCGAAGCTGAAGGGGAACGTAGAAGCTTAGATCTGCACGGATTTCGGTTCAGCTATGATAGAACAGGGACAAACGGAGTGATCTCTGTGAATAAAGTATTGGTAACGCGGCAGGTCGACGAAAATGTCGAGGAGGACGCCCAGCATGGAGATCGAGAACAACGTGCCAGAGAGCCACCCCGCTGGCAGTAAGTTATGGTACAACTTGTGGAGCGACGCTATGCGTTTGTTGCGCGCGACTCGGAGCTGACATGCGATATCAGCAATATCCTAGGTCAGGTAAGAGATGGAGAACGCACCGGAACCGCATCTGGCTGCTCACGACACCGAGGAAAATCGAATTGGAATATGTAGCTGGCGTTGCATGCAGATTTGGTGGATTGTGTGAGCTAAGAGAAAACAATGGAGGATGACGCGCTGCGCGTGGAAATTACGATGCAGCGGGTCTGAAGTGAGACAGTATGTCATTAAGATGAAGATAAAAATGAGAGAAGTGCCGTACCAAACGGCGAGCGTGGGGCAACTTCAGAAGTTGAGTAGAATTTGGAACTAACTCACGAAGTGACGGTTGAGTTGAGCTGTTAACCGTGATATACGCATGAAACGTACGTCGACACCTTAACAGGCTCGCGGGGACAGCTCCGAATATGAAAATAAATAATGCGAGGAAAACTGAGTACATCTGTAGGATGGTCGTCCAAAAGAAAACGGACCAGAACAGAGCTCCCATTTATCGGGATAATTCCAGCATATGGATGGTCAACCCAAGGCACTCAAACAGGATTCGTGTTTGTTCCTGTCAGGGTGCGAGAAGACGATGCCTGAAGAAAATTCAGAGAGCATGAGATTCATATGAATACGAGTGTGATGGACTTGGCGTATTGAAATGGAAGGTCGTTGGAGAATAAAAACATCAGCATAGTACTGGAGTTGAACAATGGCAGAGGCGAACACTCATTTGGCCTGGAGGGAATTGGGGAAAGCAATGTTCAGCGAAGTCGTGCTGGATGGAATCAGGGAATAACCGACGACCCATCCTGAGAGACGACGTCCAACTCAACCGCAATGGACTGAACAAACTCAACTGAGTCGGGTACAAAAGAAAAATCAGAAAGAAGGCTCACTTATTTAATATCCTCGTTTTAATCGTCTCGATAACATGTCGGACTGTGGGTGAGCCGAGAGGGCGTAGAGATGTGGGTGTATCTGATAAATAGATTTAAATGGGACTGGTGGGGGTGAAATTGATAACAGTGCTTAAAGGGATGTGAGGATGGGAGGCAGGTGTACCTACTGTCGGCTATATGCTGTCGTGATTATCCTGTGTTGATATCGTAGAAGTGGAGATGGGGGGCTGGTGTGGTTCAGAGAAGCAAGGTGATCAAAGGGAGCAATGGAATGCAGTATTAAGAGGGGACGATGGGAGTGGGACGAATTAACATCCCTTTCTAGCGGAGGTTGAACGGCTGATCGGCCAAATCGAAAATAACACGGTGGAGAGTCCAGTTCCCTGTTCCAACGTTAAACTGTGACGAACGGCGTCAGCTGGAAACCCCAGAAAAATGACCGCAGGATGGAAAATCGAGAACTTGGAGCAATGAGTCAGAGAATGAGGCGTCTCCGGCCCGAGAGTAGACACGAAAAGTGGCAGAAAAATGACGGTTTTGAGCGAGGTAGTGTAATGAACATGGTGAATGGGTAGGAAGAGCCAGGAACTGTGGTTGGCGACGTGTTGACCACCAGCGAGAGCAAAAAATGCAAAATTGTTGAAAGACAACATATGTGGGCGGACAATCAGTCCGATACTTGGCGATGGGAACAGAGTTTGCGTCAGAAAAGGCAATTTGAAAAACAAAACACAGTTGGAAGTTCCGAAGATTAATTCGAACTTCGGCAGAAGTAGCCAGGCTTTCGGAGGGAGGCGATGTCAAAAGAATGTGAATTAGATAGCCATGAGAAGTGGAGAAGCCAGAGCTAAGTTCGCCGCACGACACGAGGTGTGGAGCGGGCGTCTGAATATCTGATAGATGTTCGTGGGAGGCAGTGGAGCTAAAGGACAGCTATGAAATCCGGTGCGTAAAAGAGCACACAGGCCATA